ATTAATTAGCAATGGTCCATGACGGCGAATTGAGTTTACCTTTTTCAAGAAGGTCCGGGAGGCAAAAAATGAATTCCGGGTTCTTGGATGTCGAGCAGTGCAGTCAGGGGTGGCGGAGCAGCGGCTGCGCGAGCGAAAGCTCCTGCTGGTCTTTCCTGTCCTCCCCGTCTCCCGGCGCGCAGCCGGCCGTGGTGCCGGTCGAGACACACGCCATTGAGGGGGGAGAGAGAGATCTATCGAACAGCGATGCGATAGTTTCTCGTGCGCCTCTCTGGGATGTGCAGAGGAATGTCGTATTGGCCACACAACAGCACAGCGGAGCGAGAGGCGCGCGGCCAGCGTTGCGCAAGCCGCGGTATGAGGCAGCGGCCGGGCACCAGAGCCTAGGCGAGGTCAGGGCGACGTATCGACACGAGGTCACGGTCAGGCCGGGCCTCTGGCCGCGCCCAGCCCCGCCCCGCCGCGCCGCGACGCGCCTCGGGCACCAAAGGGGAGAAACAAGCGGCGGGAGATAGATGCGAGGCGAATCCATGAAATGATGCGTCGATATTTTCATCTTGTTTTATTCATGAGGGGAGGCGCGCAGCCAGACACAGGAGCGCAACCACCCACCACACACACACACAGACACACACACAACCACACACACACACACACACACACACACACAAACTTAATGTTTGTGTTGTGCTTTGTGCTTAACTGTGGAGACGGACACATGCATACTTATGCCCGATGTAAAGTCATCTCAGCCAAAGGTCTGGCTCCCCCTCCCACTCGCCTGTATAAACTCCTATGCTGCCCGGGCTTTGAAAAGCTAGACCTTTGGCAGGGGCGACTATTCATCGGGTTTATCCGAACGGGTGCTCCAGTGTTGCGGGATTCCATACCCCATTCGGCCTCGGGGGGTCAAGGCCCCTCGCTCCTTGTGTGGAGGGAGTAGGCAGACCCGCAAACATTGGACTACCAGCTCTCGTACAATCTGTATACAAAAACATTTATCTGTACATGATAATTGTGTACAAAGTTGTGCAAACTTACGCACAACTGTTTTGAGTAATACTGAATGTGCCGATCTGGAGATACGTTAGCACAAATAAGTACATGCACATGCTCCGCAGGTCCCCGGTCGCCCCCGGAACGCCCCGGCAGATCGCTCGTTGGCCAGGCGACCTGCCGTCTGCAGGAAAAGCAGGGGTCGGAAAACACCTGCAGAGTCGAGTCCGATCCGGGCTAGAGCCGTGTGCCCTTCTCCGCCAGGGTGACGGTGGAGCCCGCGGCGGCGGCGGCCGCGGCGTCCTGGCCGGCGTCGGGACGCCCGCGACGCAGCAGCGCGGCCACTGGGGGCGAGAACACGGCCAGCTTGGAGTCGAGCGGGCTGTCGGGCCCGGTGACCACTGACACCAGTGAGCCCACGATCATGACGATGAGCCAGCCGATGGAGGCCGTCCACAGGTACGACACGCGGTACAGCGACAGAACGGTGGGGCTGCGGGCGGCAAAGACACAGGGTAGGGCGCCGTTTACTAGAGTGGTCTATTGTTTGAGTTCTATGGTGATGGTGAGGAGGATCTTGCACCCGCGCCACCCGCTTGTGCATCGGTTCCGTTGCAACAGGTGCTGGCGGGCCCCGCCCTGCCTTGCCCCGCCCCGCCCCG